TTTTTAGTTGGAGATGCATGGAAAATTCTAATATAACTTTGAATTATGTGGAGGTATTGACTTGAATAAGGTTCCATTGAGAGAAGACTCGGCCAAGGGACTATCGGGACTATCAACAATTTAAGGTGTAATGTTAGATACATGTCATCTCAGGTGAAACATAGATGTTCGATGAAATGCTTGTGAGAAAAAAAATGGGGTTAGAAATGCAGAGTTGAAAAATACTACTAAGATGAACTAAGTATCATTGTTGAAAATTACCAACAAAACTGGAATTATTTTGTATAAATGACACATAATAATTTCTTTGTTTAATCCTTGTGTTTAAAGATTTTCCAACAGATGATCAAATATAATGAAATCCCAAACAGAGCATTCACCTCTCAGTCTATTTCGCTCACATGCACTCTCGTTTGGTTTTTGTTCTTCAATTTTCCGCCATTTAAATTGTAAACCCAAGCAGTGATCTGTCTTTCAGCTTGTTATTTAGAAAGAAAAAATGGAGGAAGAATTGTTGGAACGCAACACCGATTGCGTTTATTTCTTAGCCTCTCCTCTCACTTGCAATAAGGTATTTATTTTCTCTTTTGGGCTATCCAGAAGTAAGATTTCCTCTTTCTCATTTTCAGCTCGCATTATGTGTTTTTTGTTGAAATTTTTATGTTTTTGGATATTCAGTGTTAGTTTTGAACCAAAGCCATCTAATTTTCTTTCTTTCTTCTTAATCAAAACTTTTAGTACTCCTTATGAAAGATATTCAGTCCATCAGAATAGAAGTGAAATATGGTCATAGGCTAAATTTTTTTGATCTTCTTGTTTGGTTTTTCTTTAAATCATGCAATTGGTTGTGAGTATCGACATAGTGAAATCGCCATGCTCAATCCGTGAGACTGCTGGTACTAGTCTACTGGGAATTGTATTGATTCAACTTGTGGTTTTTGGCATCATGTGAGCTCGTATTCTTTTTAATAAGTTCATGTTGATTATGAGACTGATATATCGTGAACGAATTGGATTTTTTTACATGTTTTGGAAATTTTACAATTAAATTGTATTGAATTAAGCTTTAGAAGACAATTCTGCATGCATGCAACTCGAAAGACATCATGACAGGGTAGTATATTTGGAGCAGATACTTGACCCTGTCATGATGCCTTTTGAGTTGAGAAAGAGACTAAGAGGTGAATGCGCTGTTTGAGAGTTCATTATATTTGATCATATGTTGGAAAATCTTTAACCACAAGGATTAAACGAAGAAATTATTATATGTCATTTATACAAAATAATTCCAGCTTTGTTGGTGACTTTCAACAATGATACTTAGTTCATCTTAGTAGTATTTGTCAACTCTGCATTTCTAACCCTATTTTTTTCTTACAAGCATTTCATCGAACATCTATGCTTCACCTGAGATGACTTGTATCTAACATTACACCTTGAATCGTTGATGGTTCCGATAGTCCATTGGTCGGGTCTTCTCTCAATGGACTCTTATTCAAGTCAACACCTCCACATAATTGAAAGTTAGATTAGAATTTCCCATGCATCCCAACTAAAATTTGACACTGGAAATGAGAAGAGAGAAGCAAAAAAGGAAATTCGAGATTGAAAAGGAATTTGGGGTATAGAATAAAATTGAGGACTGTGTTGAAAGTTTTAAAAGTTGGAGGACCTAAATGCAAGCGCCTAAAAAGTTCAGTGATCATATTGCAAACGTACTAACGGTAGTGTAACGTTAGGGACCATATTGTAAACGGACTAAATGTTAGGGGACTGTATTGCAAGTTTTAAAAGTCGGGGGACCTAAATGAAAACTTTAAAAAAGTTCATTCACCATTTCTATACTTTACCCTTAAGAAAATGATATTTTTTAAATTGAACATATAGATATTTTGAAGTGATTAATGATAGTTTTAACATATTCAATGATAATACAATCACATGTTAATTTTTTATATTCAATTCAATTCAAACAATTACTAAAAAAATTTATATTCAATCTTTCTTCTTACTTATTGTCATTTTATGCTTACAGTGGCTCATGCAAATCTGTTAGTGGAAATTGCAATCGGTTAGGTGAGTTTCTGCAAGAAAATGAAAGAATTTGAAGACGAAAAGACTATCTACTATATTCATCAACGCAAATCGAGAAAACCGCAGCATGGTGGCGCCGCCGCGGGATATAGCTGTGCTGCCGGGAATCTCTAGTTATTTGACCCGAATCTCTAATTCTGTTGCAGGTTTTATAACATCCAGGATTTCCCCCTGTTCTTGGTGAAATATTAAGCATCGTCCACGTGGCATTTTCTACGCCCACGAATCAGAACGAAATTTCGAGATCTCATCCACAAAAATAACGAGAGGTTAGCAAATTTACTTCGAAAAGTTCAAAATTCAAACAGTCATAAAAACGAATAAAAAACGGAATGCAAGTTGTTTACGCAACTTGACATTGAAGTTACGAAAAGGCCAAGGGACATTTTTTATAAATCGGCAACGAGGGAGGGTAATATCGATAAACAATTGGAAACCTCTAACAACTAGCGCAGTAAAGTCGGTCGAACTCTAACTTTCTAACGCTATATAAGGCCAAGCTCGTTTCATAAGATCGGAGGGAAAAAACCTAGTTTGTAGCCGCCTCCATTACGCGTTTTCTTAAGGCTTCTAGATCTATAAGTTTTCTTGGTATTGAACTATCTTGGCTTTACTGCTTCATAGTTTTGTTGAAAAAGTTCTTTGGATTTTCGAAAAGAAAAAGCCAATAATTTCACGCTGTTTCCCTTACCCTCGTCCCGGCCATTTAAAGCGGGGATCTGTCGAATCGATTTAGGTTCGTTGAGCAAGTGTTTTTGTGAGTTTCACTTGTGATGCTCAACTGCATGCGATTGTGATACTTGATTATGGTTTGTGTTTATGTAATTGCAGAGTTAATCGTATTCGATTTATTATGCTCTGTAATCAAGAACAGCAAAGATCTGTACATGGAACCATGGTAGTCGTTCAGATAAGTTCTCTGAAACGCTTTGTGTTTAGGGTTTTTTGAATGAGGAAGATCTGTACAGAAAATCTATTGTAGTTTAATTTTATTAATTGAAATATTTTAGTTTAGAGTTTGGGATAACAAAAAAATGTGCTGTAGATCAAACATGTCAATGAAGCTCGTATGTTTAGGGTTTTTTATTGAAAGAATTTGTCCTATTTTAAACATCGAGGTTTGATTTTTATATGATTGAAAATCCTTTCGATTGTTATTGTGTGATTGATCTTTGATAAAGCCCTATAACAAAATGAAATTAGACCCTAAACTTCAGTTTTATAGTAAGAACTGTTGTTCTTTGGTCTTCCATTGTGTTCCAATCTAAATTTCATATTGTGCTGTGCAATAGAGAAAAGGTTCTACCAAAAACAGAACAGAAATTACATAAGAGGGAGAAGATGATAAAAAGAAGGATAGGAAGGGAATTGATAAAACTCAATGTCCCGCCAAGAAATTTAAGAAGCTTGATGATTTTCAAAATGGTTATAACGATGAAGACCAATTGGAGAGAAGTGACCTTACTGTAGAAAACGAGCCACCAGTTTGCTACATATCTGATGGCAGACTAAGCAGCCATAAGAGGAAGAGGGAAATGGTGTCCTGTAGTAAATGAAAGGTTGATGGTAAGTTGTGTTTATCACTGTTATTCGATTGGCTAAATATACTTGCTGCTCTAGGCTTCTTAGAGTAATGTGTACATAAATATATTGGGATGTTGATTTGTGTATTGTTCAATGAACAGGGAAGGAAATAAAGATAAAATTTTCTTTGAAAAAACCTCATCAATCTGAAGCATTGATTGGTGAAAAACCTGGAAGGGTAGTTTCTAATCAAGATCCGATTGGTTTGGTTCCTCCTGTGCCTGAACAGAAATTGTGTCATGATGATGGAAGGAAGGAACAAGGTCCCTTCCCTTTTCCAAGTTGTTCCGTTGCTCTTTTGTCTGAACAGAAACTGAGGCCCGATGTTGCAATGAAGGAGCAGGGTCCCTCTTCTTCTAGAACATTGGCCAAAGACAATAAGATTCTTAGGGTTGCATTGCAATATAAAACCTTGCTTGAGGATTGGTTGCCTCCTGTTCTCCAACCTGAGCTGAATGATGATGATAATGGTGACAATTGGCTTCTTCCCAAAAAGCAGCTTTGGAAACCTGCAGCCAAAAGATCTGATGGCAATGATGTTTCATGTCGTGCTACTTTGATTTCATGGCCTCAGTCACAGTATCTTCCTAAGGCTGAGATATATGCATTGCCTAATACAATTCCATTTTGATTCCCCTCTGATGCATTGATTGGTGAAAAACTATCTTCTAGCAATGGAAGGCTGGATTCTAATCATGTTCTGATTAGTTGGTTGCTTTGGTGCCTGATCAGAAACCTGATCATGATGATTGAAGGAAGGAGCAAGGTCCCTTTCATATTGTTCTGTTGCGCTAGTGTCTGAACAGAAACCGGCATGGTGTTGCAAGAAAGGAGCAAGGTCCCTCTCCAGTTCCATATTGTTCTGTTGTTGTAGTGTCTGAACAGAAACTGTGGCATTGTTTTGCAAGGAACGAGCAAGGTCCCTCTCCTGATCCATATTGTTCTGTTGCGCTAGTGTCTGAACAGAAACTGTGGCAAGTTGTTGCAAGGAAGGATCAAGGTCCCACTTATTCTAGGACCTCGGCTGAAGGCAAAAAGTTTCTCAAGGCGGTGATGCAATATAAAAACTTGCTTGAGGAAAGATCTGTGCTGAATGATGATGATAATGATGACAATTGGCTTCTTTTTGAAAGTTCAGGAAACTTGCGGCCAAAAGATCTGGTGGCGATGATGATCCATGTCCTTGGTGGGATTGAGGTTACAAACTTACAATGGCCAAGTTGTACACCTTTTTTGTCGGCCAACTCTAACATGTACAGTATGAGGATTTACTAATAGAAACAAGATATTCTGCATTTTTTGTTTGACATTTGATTGTTTCTCTATTTTCATTTACATCATTGTTCTCTTTTAAGATATTCCTTGAGCATTAAACGTCGTTTTTTTCCAGTTTTGCATCTTCCCGTATGCTTTTTGCATTCTGATGTTGAATCATCGTCACTTAATGGAACTGAAAGATAGCTTTGTAGTTTGCGAAGTCCATCATTTTCCTGGTTTTTTGACACTTTCATGTAAGCGGCATGGAAATCAGAGCCCTCTGTTGGTTCCTTGTTCCCTTGTAATACTTGCAGTATCTGAATAGTTAACATGTTTGAATCAGTGAACTGTTTTAAGCACAAAACAGAGCGACTGAGTTAAAGTACTGTATTTCCAAGAGATCTTGCTCTTAACCAAGATGGTGATGAGAAATGAGTGAAAATATAACTCAAGCAGGAGATTTAGCCCTTAACTAGGACAACATTAAGAAATGATTGAAAATATATGGGCTTTTGGTTACTGGAATTCAGTAATTAAGCAGGGTTTGGTCTTTAGTATGGGGTATTGTCGACCTCAACCCTCTGAAAAAATTGGTATTAGCTTGGAAGGCACCTAAGTGATATTCCGATCAATAGGAGGCTTAGATACAGATGGCATGAGTGTTTACCTGGCTCACTTCTGGACGATGTATATCTAACTGATTCAGGCAGAGGGTGGCTGCGAGAAGCATTCTATGCGATTGAGCAACGTCGAAATCTCCGTCTAATACTGGATCAACAAATCCTTGGAGATCCCTTCTCTCTAATAATGCATTGGCCTGTGTTAAGATCATAATTTTGTTATTTAACTATTAAAGGATATGAGGTTTCTAATATCTTCAACTAGTGAAAAATGAGTACAAAGTAGGAACTCTTACCCATTGGATCAAGCTCTCTTGTTGGTCCACATCTTTTGAACTAACCGGTCTCCTTCCTGATAGTAATTCTAGAAGCACAACGCCGAAGGAGTACACATCGATCTTGTTACTTACCCTTCCTTCCATGAAATACTCGGGAGCTATATATCCAAAAGTTCCCACCACATTGCTATCAATCATGTTGGTTGAATCCATTGTTCCCCGGATGGCAAGTCCGAAATCAGATAACTGCAAGGATAAAGTGAAAAAAGCATTCGTGGTCAATAAGCTTGCTACTTAATCAATTAATCTTGTCTTAAATCTTGTGACGGGATCCCAAAATGACGAGTTCATACAGAACATTATGTTGAATTCGAATATTATCATTGGCATACGAAAAAAGGGAGGGGGGTGAACCTGTGGCTGAAAATCATCAGAGAGAAGAATGTTGGATGATTTTACGTCTCTGTGGATAACAGGCGGTGAGCATTCATTATGCAGGTAATTTAGAGCCTCAGCAATTGCTATAGCTATTTTATACCTGACCTCCCATGGCAACACATATTTCCTGCTTTGACCTGTTTTGGATAAAGAAGTACAATGAAAAACTTGTAACTTCATTGTATTTTTGATCTTTTGAAAAATGTAAAAAAACCTTGAGATTTATGTAATTACCATGGAGAATTTCCTCTAAACTCCCTCTTGGAAAGAAGTCATAGACAGAGATGAGATAATCATTTTCAACACAAACTCCAATTAGGGGCGTTATATGCTTATTTTTCAATGAAGAAACAATATAAACTTCTAAGGAGAAGTCACTCCAAGCTTCTTTGTACGATTTTATAATTTTAGCAGCCACTGGCTTGCCACCGGGAAGAAACCCTTTGTATACATTGCTGCATCCTCCCTCTCCGATCAAGTTTTCTGTAAGAGAATTGAAAATGAGATAACACTTAAAAAAAATAAGAACAAAAGCTGTCTGTCTGTAAGCCTTTAGAATTATATGTATATGCTTAATTCCAAAAGAAGCTTGTGTTGAAAGATAACCTGGAGAGAAGCCAGAAGTTGCTTGCTTAAGCTCCCTGAGTGTGAACTGCTTGCAACGAAGCGCCAAGTTGTTCGGCATCTTTCTTAGTGCTGGCAACGAATTTTCTATTTGTACACCATAGTCGTCTTCCTGTGATTCAATAGCAGTGTTCATCACCCTCTCAACCATCGGAAATGGAATCTTTGTAGATTCAGATTCTGATAAACAAGAATCAGAAGTAGTGGAAGCTGTAATGCGGAGAAGAGGCCAACCAGGCTTTGGATTTGGTTCTGCATTCGAAGAAACTGAATCATCTGCACCATATTCATTCTTGCGATTGTCATTGAAGCTAGTTTGATTCGAATGCAAAGAAATCTGGTTGACAGCCAAGGTAACTCGATCAGGTAGGCTCATTATCCATTCCACAACAGATGTATCCCTACCTTCATGTTTCTTAAACTCCTGGATTGCAGGAGATTTTCTTCGAAGTAGAGGCCAACCAAGGCATGGTTCTGACAGTTCTCTTCGGATTGTAGATATGGAATTCAACAAAACGGCCTTGTCACTATGATTATCATCACTTGCTACTGTGGAGATGGGCGGAAAAGGAGGAGGTTCAACTTCTTCAGACTCTGATTCCTGATCTACGTGTCTTAATATAGCACTGCTTTTATCGAGATGCAACTCAGGTGTCAAATTGAACCTGAAACCTACAAAAACCAATAGAAATAAGAAAAGTACTCTAGGAATCAAAACGAAATCGACATATCCCTTTGGTTCAAACCTTGTAAACGGTGAAATGGAAGCATTTCGAAGATGGTCTTTCCCTTTTCAACACTAAGAAGAGCAGTAATTTGCAGCAATATCCACTTCCTAAAAACATACACAAAAACAGATTTTTTTTGTGCTTTAGCATCAAAGGAAAGAACTCCAGGATTAACTTTCATCAATAATAAGTCAACTTACCACGAGGTCTCCTCTGGATTTGTTCCTGTAAATACAGCCATGGCGGCGCAACGCTCAGCGATCTTTTTTATAACCTTTCGCTTTGAACTTGTTTGTGAATTTGAAGAGCTAAGATCATTCTGAAATTCAATCAATAAAACAATTAAAGGATTAATTTCTTTGAAGAAAACAGTGCTAAAAGGACAAATCAATGGTAAAGGAAATACCGTTTTCATTCTATCGACTTCCCTGTGAGTTTTCCTGTACTCTTTTGTCATCCAGGCTCCAAGCAAATGATGGTCTAAAAAGCTATTTTCAATTAGAAAGAACAAAAGTGGAAGAAGATGACTGCATTTATACAGTTTATTGTATAAATCAAAGCAGTCGAAAAATACCTGAATCTGGAAATACATAGATTGAAACCAAATCATTTCGAGAAAGTGCAGAATTTAAAAGCCCGCCAATCTCTCTGTTTGCTGTAATTTCCGTTTTAATCACCATCGTCGTCCAAATTCGCTGTTCTTCAAACCTTCTTATTTATTGACTGATTCTTTTTTTCCCATTCAAAGAGTCGAGCAAACACTAAAGTTTATATAATCTCAAAGAAATTTCTAAGATACTTCCTTATTTCATCGAGAAGAGAAAGGAACGGGCAACATGTGAAGTGATAATTCATTCATAAAAATTAAAAAAAAAATTTGGCAATGTGGGTAAATAAGCTGATAAAGAAACAATGAATATTTTTAATAAATATTTGAAAAAAATGTTATCTTACTGATCAATCTAATCAATCATCTATATTTCCAAGTAAAATTCAAACGATATCACGTTTGACTTTTTTTTTTAAGAATTTAATAAACAAAGTGTACCAAATTTCACCAACCAAGTTTTAACAATAAGCAATTGCCGCCAACGTAATGTGATTAATCAGAATGCGACTGAAATCAAGCGTGGAATCGTATTGCTTCTAGGAAGGCAATAGGCCATCCACTTTGACCCAAATTAGATTTTACCTCAGACTTTAGCAGCCTGTAATAATCACCCTACCAGCTATAATGCTTGGGTGATCAAAGTTGATTACTCATCTCTAAAATTACATATATATTTCTATTTAATATACACAATTTAATATAATTATATGAAAAAGTGTATGTATATTAACATCATGATCAAATAACGAGGTAAAATCGATGTGAACGATGAAGATGCTGGAAACTCGAAATTAAATGGAGAATCTAACGTTCCAGAGGTACCCTATGGGTCGTGGATGCAAGTGATGCAACGTAACAAAAGATTATCGCAGGCGAAAAAGCCTATTAATATGGACAGAAGTACTAATGTGATGACGAACCAAGCAGGAGGCTCTCGTTTTGAGGCGTTAGCTTCACTTGAGAGTGAAGAGAACTTGCCGCATAATGATAAGAGCACGAATAACAAATAGCTGGGAGATTTTAATGGTCATAGAAATCAACTAGAGGACAAAAGGAAAGCTATTGAGCAAGTTGCTACAGTAACAAGCACCAAAGACCGAAGTAGAGATATTGAGGCAACTATTATGGATGATAGGGCGGTCTCAAACATTCCAGTTGAGAGCGATAAAACAAACCATGTTCAGAGTATGACCTCAACCATGGAAACCGAGGAAAATTCTCACACCGGAAAACTGGAGTTGGCTGTTCTTGCATCGAAAGAGAAGCTTGTACAAGTTAGTTCCTTTGTGAATGAGGGTAATCATACTGCTATCCAAATTAGTGCTGAGGAACGTACGAGAGCGCTAAAGCATAATAATGGAAGAGCTCCTTTAAAGTTATCCCAGGTAGGTAGATCAAATAACGAGGTAAAATCGATGTCGGCAACAAAGGCGTTAACTAAGAAAGGCCTTAAAACAAAGAAAAAAGAAGATAAAATTCCCTCCAAACTTGTGCTCTTAGATTGGGTTGTTGCGATGGATAATGAGCTTACCAAAGCCAGTGCTAGCTCGATGATGAGGGGCACCACTACACAAGAACAGATTGCTACTCATAATTCTGTTCGATGGCGAGCGAACACGTCTTTTGAGGGTGGATCATCGGGAACCAAGTTAGCTTGATGCTGTGTGGTTTGGCTTTATTTCCATATTTTATTCTATGGTTAAAGTTATTTTCTGGAATACCCAAGGCATTTTGGGCCTTATCTTCAAACGTTACTAGAGACTTTTGGTGAAGCTTTACAACCCTGATATTGTTGCCTTAATAGAACCTCGTGTTAGTGGAACTTGTGCTTATGATTTTATTCGAAGGTCGGGTTTTGACTCATCTTTTAGAGTGGGGGCTAATGGGTTTTCTGGTGGAATTTGGGTTCTTTGGATGATATAAGATGTCTATGGATTTTCTCACAGCCACGAAACAATTTCTTCATAGTCATTGTGTTGACACAGTGAATAAGAGAAACTGTTTTATTTCTTTCATTTATGCTAGCCCGAATAACCCGTTTGCGTAGTTAGGTTTGGGACCAACTGAGAGATTTAGAACCTGATACTAATACTCCTTGGGTTCTTGGTGGTGACTTCAATGCTATTTGCAGTACTTAGGAAAGGTAGGGTGGCTCAGACAGAAGAACCGTAATTTGTCCAAAGTTTTGTAATTTCTTATTTCAGTCAGGATTACTTGATATGGGCTTCAATGGCCCCTTTTTACTTAGCAACGTGGGGATCTCAAACAATGACTAGATAGGTGCTTGTGCAACGGTTGTTGGTATGAGATTTTTTCTATGACGGAGATTATGCATTTGCAAAATATTGGATCTGACCATAGGCCATTTTTACTCAATACCAAGGAGCCCCAAGCAAAGCAGAACAACCGCCCTTTTCGTTTTCTTTCAGCATGGAACGAGCATCCAAACTTTGGTGAATTCCTGGTTGGTGCGTAGAACACGAGTACCCCAATCTTTAAAAATCTTTTATCTTTTGAAGGTCAGTGCCGTAAATGGAACAGTGATGTCTTTGGTCATATGGGAAAAAGGAAGACGCTCCTCCTTGCTCGGATAAGGGGAATCGAAAGGGCCTTGGAACATTCGGATTCTCTATTTCTCATGGAGCTAAATGATTCTCTTAAGAAGGATCTCAATACAGTCCTTGAACAAGAGGAGAGTTTGTGGTATCAAAAAGCGAGAAATAGGTGGATCATGAAAGGCGACCCTAATACACGATTTTTTCATGCAACAACTATAAGTAGGCGAAGACGTAACACCATCCAGATGTTGAAATTGGGGAACGGTGTGTGGTGTGATGACTGTAATGTTTAGCAGAAACATCTGACAGAATTCTTTGGGAAACTTTTCACCTCAGAAACAAGACAACCAACACATAATGATTTCTTTGGGGGCTTCAAACAAGTGGACATGTATTGGCTAAACAAGTTGATAAGTACCATTAATTTGGAGGAATTGCGACAAACCCTGTTTATGATGGATCCATTTAAAGTTCCTGGGGTTAATGGGTATCATGCATAATTTTTTTCCCAGAAAAATTGGTCTGTCTTGGGCGACAACTTATACCAATTTGTTCATGATTTTCTTCAATGAGGTGTCCTTTCGGAATGGGCGAATAAACCTTGCTGGTGGTCATTCCTAAGGTTGAGGCTCCTGAAAGAATATCACAATTCTGACCTATTAGTTTTTGCACTGTCCCCTATAAAATAATAACCAAGCTTCTTGTAAACCGTCTTAAACCATTGTTACCAGCTTGGATCTCGCAAAACCAATCGAGCTTCGTTCCTAGAAGAAACATAACAAATAATATTATTCTGGCGCAAGAAGTAATTCACTCCATGAACCGAAAGAAAGGTTCTAAGACATAGATGACAATAAAGGTGGACCTTGAGAAAACATACGATTGCTTGGGGTGGGACTTCATAGAGGAAACCCTTATGGATGTGGGACTGCCATCTACCTTCATCAGATGGATTATGCTCTATGTTACGATGGTTTCTACACATTTTTTATGGAATAGAGATGTTTCGGAGAGCTTCAAACCTATACGTCAAGGCGACCCTTTATCCCGTACCTCTTTATTCTATGCATGAAACGTTTTTCTCATGCTATTAATCGACGAGTCCACTCTAATACTTCGCGATAGATTCAGCTTTCTCGCAATGGACCTTGGATCCTTCTCCTTTTCTTTGCCGACGATCTTATTCTCTTTGCGGAATGTCCATGGATCAAGTGATGGTTATAAAAGAAATTATGGCAAATTTCTGTGCTTGCTCTGGTCATCGGGTTAGTACACCAAAGACAATTTTTTCTCCAAGAACTGTGACGTAAATGTGAAGGATTTGATAAGCCAAGGATTTGGATTTGAAGAAGTTCCAAATTCGAGGAAATACTTGGGAGTGCAACTTTTACATAACAGGGTGACCGCCGCTACCAGTATCTTATTGAGAAAGTGGAGCAAAGGTTTTCGAGTTGGGCAGCCAAGACTCTATCTTTAGCTGGCCGTATAACTCTGGCAAAAGCAGTTTTGCAAGCAATACCAAGTTACGCTATGCAGTCCACTTGGCTCCCGAAAGGGGTTTGTGATACTTTGGAAAAGCTTATTCGTAGATTTGTGTGGAATGCAAATGGAGGATCTAATAGCCTTGCGTTAAATAAATGGGACACAATGAAGCTACCAGTTGAAGAAGACGGCTTGGGAATTAAGGACCTGGATCACCAAAATAAGGCTTTCCTAATGAAAATTAGAATTCTTTTGGTGCAAGGAGCTGATAAACTATGGGTCAAAGTCCTTAATAGTAAATACCGATGGAATAATGTAATTCCTGCTAGCATCGAGCGACCAAACTGCTCTAGATTGTGGAAAGGTTTGACTTGTGTTTGGGATGATATTTGCAATAGTGTGGGCTGAAATATCCGCAATGGTGTGTAAATTGATTTTTGGTACAACTGGGTTGATAAATATGATCTGCTGGTTAACTATTGCTTGCATAATTCCCCCTCCTCCAATGTCGGTTAGTTCGATGGTCACTGTCTTAGGAGCTTGGGACTAGGATCGATTACATGCTGTTATTCCTAAACAACTATTCCATAAGATTGATACTATTTCTCCTCCAAATCCATCTCTTGGTATGGATACCTTTTCGGTGGAGTCAACTTATAAATTCCTATCCTCTCCAACGCAAAATGCTGGCATAGATGTGTGGAAGAATGTTTGGAATTTACAAATCCTGCAAAGAGTGAAGGTTTTCCTATGGCTTGCTTTACATGACAAATTATTAACGAATGAGGAACGATGCCGACGCCATATAGCCCCTAATGCCAGATGCTTGTTATGCCAAAATGATGTTGAAGATATGACCCATGTTCTCTGTCGATGTCCTCATGCTATTACAATATGGAAGAGACTGATTGATGCAAACAAATTTGAGGTGTTTATGAACATGCCCAGTGACTCCTGGATCCTACATAACATGAAGGGGCAGGTTGATTTCCCTATAAATAAATTACACTGAAACTTATTATTTCCTATTGTTACATGGAAAATTTGGAAGTGTCAATGCAATATGGTACTCCAATCTGATTACATTGAACGTGAAGACTTGGTTTCTTCAAGTGTGAAACTTAAGAATGCGATTGTGGCTGCAAATAAAACTAATATTGTTAATAAAATTGCTTACAGATCCATTGATAGATGGAACAAATCTGATTCAGATTGGGTGAAAGCAAATGCTGACGGAGCGGTGGGAGGTAAAGAGAATATGGCTGTCGCAGGGGGGGTGTTGCGGAACGCTTAATGGGAATGGATGTTTGGCTTCTCTCGAAGCTTAGGCATTTGCTCGGTACTAACTGCAGAACTCTGAGCGATTCATGATGTCTTGGTTTATGCTTGAAGCTTAGGTATTCGAAGATTGGTAGTGAATTCTTATAGTGAGACGTCGATTAACACACTCGATGGACTGCCTAACGGAACTGAGGACAACACAATCGTTCTGTTGATATATGATCTCATGGATAGAGATTGGGACTTGAACTTCCACCACATTAGAAGAGAAGCCAATATGGTGGCGGATAAACTTGCTGCAATGGCTAGAGGATGTCCAATAGGAACACTTCTTTACCAAGAGATGCCAAGTGAATTGGCTACCTTAATGGATAGTTTAATATATTAAGAAAATGAAAAAAAATTATATATTTAGAATTTTTGTAAAAAAATTCAGTAAGTATATCTTACTATTTTGAAAAAAATTATAAAAGTTAGTTTAATATATTAAGAAAATGAAAAAAAAATTATATATTTAGAATTTTTTTAAAAAATATATTAAAATTTTAAATCATATTTTTTGAAATTTTGAATTCATTACTACTTATCGACATCATTAAAATGTCCAAATTGTTATTCTTAATGTTAATTTGATTTTATATATTGATTTTTTTTGCTAAACACATTAATATTTAATTTATTGATCGATTATTCCAGATCAAAAATATTATAAAATCCATTATGAAAGCTATCATTCCAACTCAATGTACAATGTAATGATTCAGACTCCTCATCTTACTTAAAGGGCATCATCCTACTAGATCAAATGGTTGGTTGTTAACGAATTTATCTCTTTTTAATTTTCAATCCAATTAAAATAAAATAATTAATTTTATTACTTCATATAATTATAATTAAAATAAAATAAAATATAGAATTAAGATGTTTAACCTAATCAAAAAATTAAAATTAAAATTATATTTATATTATATATATATGGCTCAATTGAAACAACCATAGCTTTGAACCAGACAACCTGAGCATCCAGACAGTTATTAAACGTAGCATGAGGCTTATGAAGTAGAGGTACTAGGCATTGCAGTCAGCATAATCAGCTGCAAGGAACGGAGATAAAAGAGGCAAAAGGCTCTGCATCTTGATCACATCAGGGGAAAATCCAAACCTGTCTAGTCCACTTCTTGATCACATTTTTGACCTCTTAAATAGAGACTAAACGATTACAATACATATTCAGACATATCAACAAAACAATTGAAAAAATGATAGAAATTGCAAAACTGGGAACCATAGAGAATAAAATCTTCAGCAGGCCCCCGAAATAAATACTATCGAGCCTTCAAGAGGAGTGTAATGCAGCAGTTTACACTTGATAAGTTAGTTTCTAGCTCTCATAATATAGGGACTAAATCCTCACAATATGAATAGTACGGGTACGACTGGATGAATTTAACCCTTATAATATCACATCCAAGTGCTCAACTATCCAAGTCCGACTGTATGTAAATTACACTCCATTAAAGAAAGAATATAAATTACATATTAGAAAAGAATAAAATAAAATTGGAAAACCTTTAGCGAGAGAGAGAGAGAGAGAGAGAGGGAGAGAACAGGGATGTTGAACGGAATAGAGGACGAAGAGAAATGGCTGGCGGAAGGCATTGCCGGTATTCAACACTACGCTTTTTTTATGCATCGAGCTTTGGTATCTCCAAAATCTTTCCCGTCTTTCCTTGAATTTGAGAGGATCAAGATAGCCTATCCTCTTTCACTGGTGCTGATTTTGGGTATCTCTTATCTCAGGATTCTAATAATCTTAGGGAAGCTCTCAAGTACTCGGCTCAGATGCTATCGGAGCTCCGGACCTCCAAACTCCCTCCTCACAAATACTATGAGCTTTGTAATTCTCATTTGTTCCTTTTTCTTTTGATTCATCACTTGAGTCGGCCGTGTTTGAAATTTTTTAAATTGTGATTGATTTGTTTTAATAACGTGTCTATGATTGGAATTCAGATATGCGAGCTTTTGATGAATTGAAGAGATTGGAGTTGTTCTTCAAAGACGATAGCAAACATGGTGTCTCTGTGGTTGATCTGTACGAGCTAGTTCAACATGCCGGCAATATTTTGCCTAGATTGTAAGCGATTTTTCTCCTTCAAATTTAATAATTAATAGCATAATTCTCTGTATATATTTTCTTAATATGAAAAGCATTAAACAAAAATAAATAGTCATCCCAATACTTGTGATTTTATTGCATTGAGCCTTTTTCAAATTAAACCCTTGAACATTTGTACTTTCAGCTAATTGATCCCTCCCAGTCTTAGATGAAAAGTTGATGACGGTGTTAACCAATCTATCAAGGTTCAACTGAGTGAAAATATATATATTAGAGTATTGAATTCCATTGCAATAAAAAAGACATGGCTAATTATTTAATTTTACTTTATGGACGTTTTTAGTATATTTATGCCTTTTTTTGTATCATTTTCAAATTCCAAACATTTATGGGCATCCATTCTCATTCTATTTGGCTATGGTTCTTTTCCCAATAATTTTTGGACCAGTCATCAAAACGGGACTCTAGTTTTTGTTAAGGAAAACGAAGTGGAAAACTGCAAATGTGCTTTGTGCTGGAATTTCAGCTTCGGTACTAGATAAGCTCCAAATAGTTAAATTGTAATGTCAATGTGAATATTCTCGAATTTTAGACCTTCATTGTCATTGTATATGAAGTTCTAGTTGGCAATCTACCAGGTATCTTCTATGTACGGTAGGATCTATCTATATCAAATCCAAGGAAGCCCCTGCTAAGGAAATTCTTAAAGACCTTGTGGAAATGTGTCGTGGAGTTCAACATCCTATACGTGGACTCTTTTTAAGGAGTTACCTTGCTCAAATAAGTCGAGATAAGTTACCAGATATTGGTTCCGAGTACGAGGGGTGAGATCTCTTGCTTAGTTTTTCTTTTCCCACTTGAATAGAAATTTTCATTTCAAAAGCTGTCCAATTCAAATTTCATGGCTATTTTATTTGGAGTCGATAGGTAAAACTTTTAGTTCTCTCTCTTTAAATATTTGAAGAGAATAAAACAGTTAATAAGCAGTAGCTTTTACACTGTTCCTGTATGCCTGCTCTGTTAAACTTATGATTCTGTTCTATTTTTATCTATCATAAAATATTGCTGAATCTCTATAGGAGCTGATGTATAATTTTCTTAGAAGAGAGTACATGCTGATCAGTGAATTATAATTGGTATGTCTAAATTAGATTATGCATTTAGACGTGCAAAAGAATTTGGAAACATTTGTAATTAACCAATTGCTAGGACATGGTTCTGTCTTCCTGCAGTGATGCTGACTCTGTGATGGATGCTGTGGAATTTGTGCTGCAGAATTTCACTGAGATGAATAAACTTTGGGGGCGAATGCAGCATCAGGTTTGTTAAATATCTGATATTATTTTCTTAAGATACGCAATGCACCACAGAACATGCATGCCATACAAGTGAAAATAAATTGTGAGAGCATAAATTTTGGCCATGCAGGTGTCATGGTGTTTGTGAATCATTCATACTCTTTGGTCATCCTGAGTTGAAGCCTTCAATTGCTATTTCTGGTCTGCAGGGACCTGGTAGAGTTAGAGAGAAGCGGGAAAAGGAAAGGAGCGAACTTCAAGATCTTGTAATATCAATAATCTAAAATTTCTGATTTGCTAAACTCTGATGCTGTGTGTTTGATGCCCATTGAGGGGAATTAATCCTTCTGTTCTGAACTTTCTTGTTAGGTAGGGAAAAACCTCCATGTTCTCAGTCAGATAGAAGGGGTGGACCTTGAGATGTACAAAGAAACAGTTCTTCCCAGAGTCTTAGAGCAGGTAATTTTACTTCTTTCTCCACTCCCCCTCCCCCCTCTTAATGTAACAAGTCAGAGGTCTGTAGCATTAAAAGATTTTATATGGTTCTTTTACAGGTTGTCAATTGCAAAGATGATCTTGCCCAATATTATCTGATGGATTGCATAATTCAGGTGTTCCCTGATGAATATCACTTGCAGACACTTGAGACATTGATGAGTGCTTGCCCCCAGCTCCAGGTGGGTGATGCATATTGATCTTCTTATTGTATCGAGTGTCTTTCCCTCCCTTCCTGGGCACCTAACACATACCTCTTAACACAATTGTTAGCTTTAGGCTTTATTCTAGTTGTCCCATTATGGCATCTTTACAATGAGTGTCCCACCTCAAGGTTTTGCTATCATGCTTTCCGTTTCTCAATATTTACATGATCTTTATATCAGTATGTGTAACTAGAAAATATAGTGACTGGCTACTATTTTCCTGTTATCAAGAGAACAGAATTGCACTTCCTCTGGCTGCTTTATTTATCATTTGCTAGCTAAAATGTTGTTCCAGTTGGCGTTTTCACTACCTAATTTTCTCTACAAGCCTAAATTCATAAACCTACTGTATGTTTCATACGTTGAGCATGCATTGTGGTATAAATAGCCTAGTAGGACAGGGTCTTCTGCTGTATGCAACACTCTCCTAATGTTTGGGTGAATCTTGTTCATTGAAACCAATTTTTTGGTTCAGTGCTTAAGTAAATTTTATTTTTTTATTGTCTTTAATATTTTAGGGCACTAACCTCAACAAATACAATTTCCTTATTTTTAACAGCCAACAGTGGATGTCAAGACTGTTTTGTCTCGACTAATGGACAGGCTTTCAAATTATGCTGCCTCAAGTGCAGATGTAAGTTATAAGCATAACAACTTCTATTCAGCATGCTTTTGCAAGAGGTTGAGTGAACTTTTCAATGCCAGGTATTACCTGAATTTCTACAAGTGGAAGCCTTCTCTAAGTTGAGCAATGCGATTGGGAAGGTAAATCAGCTAGTACTCCCATGCTGAAGTTGCAAATTACCTTGATGATTGTTTCAACGTAATAAAGGAATTAATCAATTGAAAATGTGAATGGTTTTACATAATCAAGTCAGGTGACGGCCCCTGAACTTACTACCAATGTTTTTGTAGATGATGACTCCTTATCTTACCCCCTCCTTTACTTCCCCGCCAGTACACTAGTGTTTTTATTTTTGATTTCTTTAATGTGTAATCATGAGTTGTTTTCTTCTAGATGATTGGGTATGATTCAATGGCAGGTCATAGAAGCTCAGGTAGACATGCCTGCTGTTGGAGCTATAACTTTGTATGTATCTCTTCTTACATTTACACTTCGTGTTCATCCTGATCGACTTGATCATGTGGATCAAGTGCTGGTATGTTTCAGACGAGGACTCTATTTACATAATATCTCCTATAGTATTGCAACTATGGCTGTGCTATTTTATGGAATTGACCATTGGCAAATGTATCAGAATAATATTGATTGTTCTTATTCTTGATATTTTCTAACAGGGAGCCTGTGTTAAGAAGCTCTCTAACATACCAAAACTTGAAGATAGGTGGGCAATGAAACAAGTGGTTGCACTTTTGAGTGCTCCACTGGAGAAATACAATGATATAGTAACAGCCTTAACACTTTCTAATTATCCACGTGTAATGGACCATCTTGATATTGGAACAAATAAAGTCATGGCAATGGTTATCATTCAAAGCATCATGAAGAACTACTCTTGCATTTCAACTGCAGACAAGGTGTGCATCTTCGGTCTTCTTTATTCATCTAATTGTATCAACTTCTTTTATTGAATAAACTGATAATTGTCTTTGTAGGTTGAGGTTTTGTTTGAATTAATAAAAGGACTCATTAAGGACATTGATGGTGCTGATGTGGAAGAGGTGCATATCAAATCTAGAATTTTCCTGCTATTCTATTAAAATTTGATAGATTTGAGTTCAGTACTTTTCACTACCCCCTTTCCTGATAATCCATGTTATATTTTTTCTTTCTCCTGTTGCTCAGTTTCCTTATCATGTTTTTGTAGATGTACATAAGTTATCTTCATTCCTTTCTTGTGATCTTCATTTTTTATGTATCTTGCAATAGCTTGATGAGGAGGATTTTAAAGAGGAACAAAATTCAGTTGCTCGACTCATACACATGCTTTATAATGATGAACCAGAGGAAATGTTCAAGGTAAGTTTTTCCAATGTTTCTTTTTATGCTATTTTTCTGCTCATTACCAGGACAAGATCCTGACTACAATGTATAAATGCAATAGTATTATAGGATGTGAAGATGGAACTTCATTATCTTCTAATTGTGAGTTGTGACAGGTTTCATGCCTCTTCAATTCCCATAAAATATCATAGCTGTGACATATTTAGGATAGTTTCTTGTTTAATTTCAATGTTTTTCTTTTAGTTATGTTGTTTATGAATGATCCAAATTATTTCCCATCTGAACATATATTATAATCAACTGCCTTCAGATTATATGTATTGTAAGGAAGCATACTATGGCCGGTGGACCAAAACGCCTACCCTTTACAGTTTCTTCACTTGTTTTTTCAGCACTTAGGGTATGTTTCTCCTTTTACATATTGTTATGTACTTCTGTCTCATCATTTTTCCATCTACTACGATGAAGTATTTAATGCTTATTTGTCAAAATCTACAAGATTATACATGCAGGCAGTTGGGTTTTGAGGTGTAATCATTATTTCTTATTAGATCCTTTCACCTCATTCGCCTACCCACTTTCTCATGAAAAGCATGGTTTATTTTTTTTTATACACAGTTATTAAATTTAGAATTATTAAAACGAATTCCTAAAAAAATGAAAAAGATGTGCATAAACACATTATAGTAGTAGCATATATAGTTCAGACTTATTGTACTGTGCTCATGTACAGTTGGTTAGGCAATTGCAAGGTCTGGAGGGGGATATAGTGGGAGAAGATATGCCAGTGACACCTAAGAAAATTTTTCAGCTCTTGACGCAGGTTTCTCTATTTAAATGGATTTGTAACTGTTTCTTCTGCAGTGTTCATACTCTTATGCATGTATATCACAATATGCAAAAGATGACTCTAATGGTTCTTTCAGATGATTGACTCTCTATCAGCTGTTCCATCACCTGAACTTGCATTAAGGTTGTACCTGCAATGTGCTGAGGTAATCTTGATTCTTGATTTATACCAACTACTGCATAAAGTCATTTGTTAACTATTAAACCCCAGAAATTCTTTTGGATAAAAACAAGTTTTGTTGAACTTTAAGAGCACGATGATATTTTTCTAATTTGTAGTAGGGAAAATACATACTGAAATAAATAATGCCGCTCACAAGAGTAAGAGATTTCTGATGAACAGTTCGCTTTAAGAACAATCAGCTTTATTCATGATAATCTTGTGGCCATGACTAATTATTTCACAAAGTTTTTATATAATTCCATTTGCGATCAATATTTTTGCTTTAGATGATGCGAAGAGGTCATTGTCATAAAAAATATCTCATCATTATGACAGCTTGTTGGCATTCCACCATTATGACATTGACAACACAAGCATCATGAACAGTATTGCAAGACTGTATTTGGCTATAATCCTTTTTTGTGAAGGGAGCCTTGGATTTTATGTTGAAATTCCTAATCTCTGTTTCCTTCTATCAGGCGGCTAATTGCTGTGATCTTGAACATCTTGCATATGAATTCTTCACTCAGGCGTTTGTATTATATGAAGAAGAAATTGCGGTAATTGTATTACTCTGATCAGCTAATGTTGAAGTCAGTCTAATGTACACTCCAAAGCCCATAGGACTCCAAAATGTTTATTGCTAAATGTTTATTGCTCATATTTCCTAAATGTTTATTGCTCATAGGACTCCAAAGCCCAAGTGACCGCTATTCATCTGATAATTGGGACACTCCAGAGGATGAATGTATTTGGTGTTGAGAACCGAGATACTTTGACACACAAAGCCACAGGAGTACTGTTTTTCTTTTGTTTTTGTGTGTGCCTCTTCTCTTATTCATCGTGGTTCATTGAACTGTTTATACAACTAAAATGTCTTACTATGATCAGTATTCAGCTCGGCTATTGAAGAAGGCCGATCAGTGCAGAGCTGTTTATGCATGTTCCCATCTTTTCTGGGTTGACGATCAAGACGGCATAAAGGATGGGGAGAGGTGTGACCTCAAATCTCATTCTCTTTGATACCTTTTTTTGTTATCTTTCCATTTATAGACTAAATTCCTTCCAAAAGTAAGGAACTAAAAAATGGTGGGCGATGTTGCAGGGTTCTGCTTTGCCTAAAGCGAGCTTTGAGAATTGCAAATGCCGCTCAGCAAATGGCGAATGCCGCTCGAGGTAGCGGTGGGCCTGTTACACTCTTCGTTGAGATTTTGAACAAGTCAGTGCTTATAACTGTACCAGATTAAACCTTTGCTCATACTACACAACTTAAGCTTTTAGATTATAAACAAGAATTTTGTGTCGAGATTTCTTTTAGGTACCTCTATTTCTTTGAAAAAGGGAATCGGCAAATCACCAGCTCCGCTATCCAAGGCCTGATAGAATTAATTAATACCGAGACACAGAGTGATTCAACAAACCCTGATAGCATTTCGGATGCTTTCCTTGCCAGCACGTTGCGTTACATTCAGTTCCAGAAACAAAAAGGCGGTATAACGGGCGAGAAATTCGAATCCATTAAACTTTAAATCCTCGAGTTATTCTGGGGTCGGAATTCACGTTTGTTCTTTTTTATATCCAACCGTTGCTAAGTTATCTGATTGAGGTGCTGGAAATGAGCCAAATCGTTTTTCAAATAACACTTTTTTTAAATTGCAAATTAGAATAAAGCCATAAAGAAACACCTCGTTATACATATTTGCAGGATTCTTACTTATTTTAAGATCTTGTTTTGAATTTTACTTCAGATATCTTTATATCATAACTAAATTTTAACACTAATCAGAGCAAAAAAACCCTCATAACTAAGCAGCAAAATCTTAATCCCTATATCAGAAACATGGCTTATCAACTGAATGGAAATTCTACGACCCACGCCATTAACAATACTTTGTCATCATCAATCTTATTAAATCTAACAGTAAGTAAATCACAAAACGAAAACAGGAAAAACACCTGATCCTTTTTCTTCTTCATGAAGGAACCCCAACAATGTAACCTTAAACTGAGAGACTAACATAATGGCTTTTCTACTTATTTGAATGTCAAGCTGACAGTAGTTGATATGCAAGCAGCAAGAAGCTGTCAAGTCAGATCTATATTTGTCAGATTCAAAGCTTCCATCGATCATAATATTGAGCAACCACCACGTGCCTTTTTCTTCTTTTTTTCTTCGGACACTGCCTACACGTTCTCCATTAAAGTTGTCCCACGGGATTTCATCAGGAACCGACTTCAAACCCAAATCTTAAGCTCAAAAATAGAGATGTATAAAGAGCACTTAACCTGCTGTGTTTTTGAACTACACTCAATGTAGGCAGGAGACCCTATCTGTTTACTTAATTCCTCTCCCTTCAAAATGAAGCAATGCATGACTAATAGTTTTTGAAAGAATTGTTGATCATCTCGGAGATCTATAGCGTTAAAGCGTATAAAACATAAGAACATTTCATGAAGCAGAAAGAATTTCAGAATCTCCAGTGTATTAATCTGAGAAAGTTTTCAGTTGCTTAAGGGATCGAAACAACCGCAATTCACAAACATGGCTATGGCTAGAGGTGCACAAAAAATCCGAATATTCGATTTTGTGAAAAAAACATCCGAAACTGGATTTGGGAAAAACCGATTTTTTTTAAAACCGGATCGGATATTTTAAAACCTGATAGTATAACCGGTTTGGGAAAAAATTGGATGACCAGATTTTTTACCGGATTAAAAACCGGTTTGAAAAAAACAGGATAAAAAATCGGTTTTTATCCGGAAAAAATCCGGTATGGGTTTAAAAAATTAGCTTTGAAGGATTATTTGGATGGAGTAAAATTTTTACCGGATTAAAAACCGGTTTTTTTAAAAGATCGTTTTTTTTTCAAACCGAAACCGGTTACACCATCCGGCCCTCCAAACCGGTTAGAATCCGAACCGGTTTTTTTAAAATCCGGTTTTTTGGCTAGGTGAAAAAACCGGATCGGTTTTTATCCGATCCGGATCGGATTTAAATCCGACTTTGTGCATCCCTAGCCATGGCAAGCACATGTAAGGATGTCAATATCCCGGGAGATAAGAATCATACCGAGTTTAGTTCCAACAAGAATTATCGGAACACCAGGTGCATAATGCTTTAGTTCAGGAATCCACTGAAAAGGAAAGTAAGAAAACACATGATCAGTATAAAATGACATTACAGACAACTCATACTGCAGGGAGTTATTGTCTCACAGAATGCAATTCAATCGTTAAACCTTCTTGGCAACATTTTCATAACTGGCCTTGCTGATGAGAGAAAATGCAAGAATACAGACATCTGGCCCGCGGTAGCTCAGTGGTCTTAATCTATTGTAATCCTCCTGACCTGTTCCAAGACAATAATTTCATCAGGGAAAAAAAAAGGCAAGATAGCACTCATGATCAGTAGCAGAACATGTGTGTATATATATTTACGAACGGATTGTATGCATTTAGAAGCCATCCCAAATTACCTGCAGTATCCCATAAACCTAAGTTGACTGTGCTTCCATTCACGACAAAATTTGCACTGAAATTGTCGAAAACAGTTGGGACATAGTCCTGATACCACAAGAGTTGCAAAGAAATGAGTTACAAGAAAATCAGTATCCAAGATCACATAAACCTAACGCAGCACATTGTGTGCCCCTATCTTAGTTTTAATTATAATGGAATAAAGTTCAAATTAAATGTTAAAGAGATCTTGTTATACTTGATCTGCCTACATTGTACTACATTAAACCCTAATCTTGACAGCATTTATAAAATACAACAAAACTTCCATGGAAATTTCAAAGTTGTAGATAATATAGTAGAACAAAGCTCACTAGAACACTACTAAATTTATAACTTACTTCTTTTATTTATCCTAAGAATAAAATCACATAAATAATATTCAGCTCTCTGTTTTGAATCTTTAACTTTCTTCTTTTATTTATACCGCCCCCGATGTCGTCGCTGTCTCTGCTGTGCCAGTCGTCGTCGTAGTCACGACCGTATTGCTTTGCAGATTTTTGACTGTGTAAGAATAAAGTTGCAGCAAATTGAAAGCTTTTCATCATTGATCAGAAAAGGAGATTCTGAGGGAATAAAGTTGCTTCATTTCAACACCTTTTTTCATGGATTCTCATGTCTCCATCAGAAAAGACATTAAAAATAAATTTATATGAAATAATTAGTTTATACCTTGTTGATGAAGGGCAGAATGTAATCGTATAATCAGCTGCCGTACATGTAAACGTACTCGTAGCATCATCATACGCGTAGCTATACGCCTTGGGGCAAGCAGAAAATAAGTTCGGGATCGAAAGAGGCGAAACTTGCCATAACCTGGTTTTCGTTGCTGGTTTTAATGCTTACGGTGGCATGAAAGTCCTCTTCCCGGGGCTGATCAAGTGGGTTGCATTGGCGGGACCAAAGTTACACAAGCAATTAGCCTATCAAATCCGGGCCGTAGTCGAAGCCGGAGCCGGTGGGGTCACGTTATCTACCCTGAACAAGATGCCTTTGACCAAATCAGTGGTTTATGAATACTTAAGGGTCGATCCTCCGGTTCCATTCCAATACGGCAAAGCTAAGGCTGATTTGGTGGTTCGAAGCCACGATGCAACCTTTGAGATCAAGAAATAATTAGTAAAACTCAAATTAGGGTGGAGATGATAGTTTACAAAATTTTAAAACAATACATCCACAGTTGAAACGTATCAAATATAAAGTGAAGTTACAACTGACAAAATCTAGACGTCTCATTCTATCACCTCCCCAAATTACGCATGAATCAATAATGCATCAATTATTGTAAAGTTATCAGCATGTCGCTGCCATTGACAATATTGACCGTTTTGTTCTCCATTCAATCAAAAATGTGCCAACATGCAATATTCTCTATGTATTGATTGTAACCACCCTATTGGTTGAACAAATTAATATTCTCTATGTATTTTATTTTACTTTCAAACTATTGACAATCAAAGCAGCAAAATTCTTAACCATGGACCAAGCTAATAACCCTAAAATCTAAGAAAACATTTATTGGAAATAGTTGAGCTCATAGTCTTGAAACGTCACAGGTGCGATCAATTGATTAGCCTCTTGTAAATTCAATAATAGTAACAATTCGTCTTATTTTCAAATCTATCGCCGTCACAGAAAAATGTTGCACGCAGCATGCCGTTGATAAAAATGGTTTATCAATAATGAAATTGATAACACTTGTTCGTTGGAATATCCTATCAAGTTGACTATGAAATCCAGCAAGCACTATAAAAAAATACACTGTTAAATGATGTTACGGATTTGTTTTTGATTATTTTTTTATTTGTTAATATTATATTAGAATAATTGATAATAATTTAATACTTTTAGAACTTTCTAATTCGTGTAAGTATTAATTCATAAAATATATAGATATAATTATAAAAAAAATTCCTAAAATTAATCGATTTCAATCCTATTTCTTTTGTTTTAGGATAAAATATTCTCGTGGTTTGATTTAATCGTTAGTTGAAAAATAGGTAACTAATATCGTTAACGTGCACATAAGCATTGATCATTAGTCAAATAACGATTTATATCCAATCATAAGAATATTTTATCTCAAAATAAATAATCAAGAATCAAACATACTTAAAAAGTAATGACTAAAATAATTATTTTATTAAATATTAGTAAATAATTTATATATTAGAGAAAAGTAAAAAACCTGCAATGAAATGAATCCCAATCCCATCCCTCCTATGTTTATCAACCTAAAAAGAGAAGCTAGAACATATTTCTTAAAACTAAGAGCCTCTTCAACCGTATGTTTTTTACTTCAAACTCAACCGACGTAATAGCCAGATCAACGTGGGCCATGGCCCATGATGATACGGACATCCACATCCGCAACGGGATAGCGTTAGCTGAGGCCTAGGTCTAGCCTGTCCTTGGGCTCTATCTCATGGTCCCTATCCTACACATAAACTTAGAAGACCCAACGCATCGCCATTGTGATTCCGATGACTCCTACAACCGCGTGGCCGAATATGCACGATGATGCCGCGCTTCCCTCGAACGCACCTTCGTACACCATTGTGCTGTTGAATATTAGAGGTGAAGTCGTCGCTGCACTTGTTTCCGTGTTCTGCCCTTCTGATGATTTCTGGCTGCAAATTTACGTACCAAAACTAACCGTTAAAAGGCCCGACAAAAAAAAAATAATGATACGAACACTAACGTAACAGCAAAATATGTCGACAAAATAAGCTAGATGGGTCGGCACGAAAACTTGTTAAATGTAAAAAGAGCCGACCGACATAAGATGATGGCAAATTATTGACTTATCCAGAGCCACGTGAAAAGTTTACTCCAACGTTTATAATGAACACCTTTTTTTTCCCCGACGGAACACGTTGTTTTCATGACGATGATTTCCCTTTTAAGACATTAACGTTTAGAACTGCGAAAAGTTTAAAAAGTTTTACCTAGTGTTGGGCGAAGGACATAAAGTAATCGTGTAATCAGCTTTAGCGCATGTGAAGGTACTGGTTTTATCATCATAGGCGTAACTGTAGGCGCGTGGGCAAGCTCTCTTAAACACCTCCGAGTACGAAGACGGTTTGCAGGTATCGGGTGTTCCATACGCGCCGCTGCAACAGTACTGAGGCTGGCGGAAGGCCTCGCAAGCGCTCTTGCATGCGACGCTGCCTGCTCCGTTTTCTATGTTCATTACCTTAAGCTCCGATGGACACGAGTCATTGAGATCCCCTACGCAGCCGGTGTAGGTACAGTTTTGCCCCGTGCCGCCGTGGGGAACCACCAACAAAGGAATGTTGTAACCGTCGACCAAACTGACATCGAAGAAATCAAGACCATCGGCGCCGTCCAAAGTAAATTCGGCCAAAGTGGCAGGCGGAGCAGCGCCGTTCCCCGAACATTCAAGCTTCCCGGATCCACAATCGCCGGTAAGACATGAAAATTTACCGGAGGAATCTTGGGAACAATGGGTTCTTCCCCAAAAACGACCGCCCCATGATGTCGGCGCGTTAATGGTTTTGGTTTCGCCTCTTTCGAGAGTAAAACCCGTCGTGGGGAGCGTCAGAACGCCGGCGTTCGAGAGAATTCCAGGCCATACCACATAATCGCATTTGTTTACTATGGTAAAGGTTGTTCCTTTCACTCCTGTTTACAATGTAATCAAAAAAAGAAAAATGAAACCAAATTCTAATACTAAAGATAGAAATGATTGAACGTGCTCAATATTTTCCAAAATGAAAATACCCGGTAAGAAGGAATGTGACAGAACAAGAACACAGAGAGCGGCAACAAGTGTAATTTGAGCCATTAAAGTTAATGTTTTGTAAGAAGAATCCTATTATACAGCGAGAAAGAAGAAGAGAAGTTAAGTATGGGCAAAATCCAACAGTCGTCTCCTCCTTGTCCAGAAATGGATGTTGGGGAAGTGTGAGATTCTTCAATGGCGATACATGGGATTTTATAAGGGAAATTGAGCTTTTCGGAAACTAACGTCAACGTGGGCCAAACTTGGAGTCGCTCTGGTGTCTACTCGACCGGATTTTGAGACGAATTGCGGTGTTTGGTTGAGATTTTTTTTAAAGAGATCCAATTAAAGTCTTTAATATCTTTTTTGTTTTTTTTTATTTTATTGTGTATTTGGAAAAAAAATCATACATATCGTTCAAATAATATTATTGAAATTTAAATTATTTAAAATAACATATCATCCTTTATATTAAAACTATTTTTTAAATTCAGATCCATTTGATTTTTATTTTACTATTTGTTTGCATTTAAAATTTTGTGAATAGTATGGTGGATTAGAAATAAAAGGCGCTATAACAAATATAGTGTTATTTTTCAACACTGCCACATATAGGCACTGCCAAAAAGAACCCAAATACCATTACTGGTAATCAATGATGCCGAAAACCAAGTCTAGTGTTGGCTGGCTAGATCCCTTGTAGCTTCATCTGGTCCTTCTGTGAATATTTTAGAATGGCTCTTAATAATATGCTTTCGAATATCATATTTTTTAAAGTTGAACTACAACTACAGTTATTAAATTATCAGTTATGGTACAAAATAAAGATATTACATTTCAAACCAAAAATAATAATAATGATATTACAGAACAAATTAATCAAAATCATCTTCTGTTGCCATATGCTTGGCGAGGGTACGAAGAAAACGAGTGAGGGACTTCTTGGCTCTCTTTACCGCTGCTTCTATTTTTGCCTTGTCTTCTTCAGTCGAATTGCAGCTTCGTTCTTGACTCGTCTGCACTTTTCGAACAAGTTTACGCAATTCCTGTCAAAGCAACACCACTCGATAAAATAATCCATTTCACGATATATCAGGCAGCTTTGTTTGACAAACAGACGAGCAATAGATTGGATGATGAACTGCACTCGGCTGTTGCCAGGCTCAAAAGAAAGGCTCTTAATTCAATTATTTAAAGGACAGCTGAGAATTCCCTATATATATCAGACTTTTGGCCTATATGTACAATAATTGGGTCAGAACCGACAACAAGTGAGTATTACTTGGCTATATTGAGGCTGCAGTATAATTATGGCTAGCAGGACTAAGGAGCGCTGTAAATGATTCAATCAAATCTTTCCAATTCAGGGTTTAGATTCCTCTACGTTTAAGTTGGGATGCTTTGAGTTTTGTATGTAGAGGACTCTGAACCAGTAGCAGTTTAATAGCTTCTTAGATAAAATCTTTTACTCATCCAAAAGAAAGAGAAAAAGACATAACTTGATGAATGGACATAAAAGCAAAACGAAAAATGAGCATCAATTTCAGTTTTGCGCGATGCAACAGTTGAACAGAGAAATATAAGTTGTTCGTGCAGGGCAGTCGTTCAAGTGATTTAAAGGCAAATAATTTAGACGAAATTGCAAGCCTAACAAGCCCCAAACCTCCTACGGTACACATACTGATCAAAACAGTTTTTTCTAATAGAGATTTGGCAACAAATGAGCAACATTTAACTTGGTTTGCTTACCTGACGATCAAAATCGACACTGCTAACCGAAAACACTTCATTTGTAATTTCAATGTCCTTGCTGATCAACCCCTCAAACCATCTATTTGTAATATTGACAAACTCCTGTGACTACCACACGTAAAAGAAATAGGTAAGACAAAGGTTTATGCGAGTGTAATCAGCTTAAGCTTGTTATAAGCCTTAAAATCAAACTTAAATTACAGTATATTCGAATGGATCATCATCATCTTCTTCTTCTTCTTCTTCAGTGATTTGTGTCTTTGAAGCAGCTAAAGCCTGCAATGTTTTCTGGTCACCTACTTTTGTAGCTTGAATCAAAGCTTCCATCAATTCGGGTTCTGCTTCTCGAAGCAGTTTCCCTAACACAAAACACAAGAACAAAGCTGCGTATAAGTTAAAGGAATGCAAATCAATTAACGTCGAATAAAATTCTCTTACCAATATAACTGAACTGCCTTCGCTTTCCCTCTCGAACATCAGGGCCGAGTCTCTGCAACAAAAATGCAAACACCTTGTGTTCATTAACATACTTTGCAACGAAACACAGAAGACGTTTGAAATTACAAAAAAATTGCAATGTTCTAAGCACCTTAACTAGCATTAAAGCATCGAAAACATCTTGTTCAAGAGAAGCCACTCTAAAAAAATAAAAGATGTTAGCTCTCGGTATATACCATTTCAAAAGCTCAAACAGATATATGTTTTTTTTGGGATTGAATTGTACCTGAGGATACCTTTGATTTGAGGGTTGGAGAAGGAAGCGAGGTCCATGCCCCAACGGACGGCGCGACGAGCCTCGCGCTTCTTCTGGTTGCGGCTCTTCTTTACATCGGATTCCAAGTCGTCGATGGTTTCGCTTTCTTGTACATTAGATGGAGATTGGGCATTGGACAATCTGATTCCGCGTGTGCGATGACGAGCGTTCCCAAGGGAGGAAGTTGAAGTGGCGAAATAGAAACAATGGGAAGGGGGTTTAGTTGACACTGATAGTATCCGAGAGAAGCAGAGGTACTGCCACTGCTGCTGCAGCTGCAATGGAGGCCATTGCCTTAGAGACCGTATAAGCCGTGCCATGCTCTGTTCGACCAACGCACGAGTTCAGCTCCGTTGACAGTTGCCAGGCGGCCTGATGGAAGACAACGTTTATATGGTAAAAGCATTAAAGTTACGACACGCATCCTCCTATTATCATTTCGTACAGATAATTCCCTGTTGGCCCAATCTTGAGAATGGGTATTTTTTTACTGGACGATGTTTACAGTTGGGCTTAGGTATGAAGCTAAGAAACTGCATTCTGATCTACCTCACAGATTGAATCGTTCGTTTCTTCTTTGTTTATCAGAAACTTAACTCCAGATGATTAAAGTTAAAAGTTCAGATATCTGATTAGATCTTTTTTTATACGTTTGATTCTGATATCCCATTACCGGTCTGAATTGTTTGATTTCGAGAATCTATGCAATTTAGGCTTAGAAATCAATTACAATCTGAAAAATTGGGATTCTTATTGGGGTTTTGAAGAATAAGAAACAGAAGACTAAAATCATATCACAAGAATCCAACCGTTATTAACTCAGGCTATTAAAAAATCGGCCTGTTTTAGTTCCTATATATATTTAGTATTTACAGGCAAAATTAGTAATTCCCAAAAGCCAAAATTCCCAAGAGAATGAAAAATTAGAGAAAGCCATCTCTGAATTTCAAAGTCCATCCAAAATGTCACCAACATTGATCAGTTTCCCATGTTCGCTTCGTATAACCAGAAGACTGAGAAGACGTTGAACCGGTCATCGGTTCGACAGAAAGAGAAAAAGACTGCCTTGACCTGAACAACAACGTTCGGTCATAATCGGCCCGTTTCTCAGGATCCGACAGCGTAGAGTAAGCTTCGTGTACTTTGATGAACTCGTTGGCGGCGGCGGCTTTTCGACCATTAGCCGAGACATCAGGGTGTAGAACCCGCGCCAGTCTCCGGTAAGCAGCCTTGATTTCGTCACACGTGGCACCAATCGGAATCCCCAATACCTCGTACAGCGATGACGGACAAGCAATGTGGGAAACCGGTCTCTCGGCCGTTGACGAACAGGCGGCGGATATGCGTAGTTGTCGGAAATGGACACGTGTAGGCATGAAGGCTTGTTCCTTGATGGAAACTTTGGAGCACAGAAAATGAGCAGAGGAAGAGGTGAAGGAAGCCATTCTCGTTGTTTGTTTGTTTGTTATTTGTTGTTTGGTTGGAGACTTTTTTAAGTAGGGGATTGATCAAGGGGTATTTATGGAGCCGAGTGAACACGGGCTAGATCGGTTGGGTTAACAAATTACTACTAGGTATTAGTTTATCCGTTATATCAAATGCTGACTCAGAGAATCGTCGGCGTTTCAGAATCTTTTAATACACGACCAGGAGTTGTCAAGCTGTCAATAACTCACTCATCCGTCTCGAACTCGTGTATAAAATATTACTCTTAATTTATATTTTTTATTTTTTATAAAATCATTAAAATTAAGGGTAAATTACACGGGAGACCACCAAACTATGGTTAATAATCAATCTGACCACCGAATATTTTTTGTCTCAATCAAACCACTCTCCATTAAAAAAATAACGGCGCGTCCGACGTGGCTGCTCCATAAGCATATTGTTTCCAGGTTGGACATGCACCACACCACGTCATGGACATGCGCTACGCCACGTCAATTAAAACAAAGAGTGAAGGAAGAAGAATAGATAATTTCAAGCACGTATCTCTATATTCTCCACAACCTTTTCTCTTTATATTTCAAGCCCCAATCGACGTTTCAGCCTCACAACACAAATCCAACATCAAATCAGCAAAAAGATTTCCAATCAGTGAGATAATGGCGCCCGATCAACTGAGTCGTAGAGAGAACACCACACGCGAGAGAGAGGTTCACTTGGAGGAAAACTGAGTCCCTAAGATGGCAACTCACTTCGACTCCCTTGCCGAGAAATTGAAACAGTCGGATGACGGCATTGCGAGGCAAGCCCCTCACAGGGAGTGACATGAATTCAGAGGGAAAGTCTGTGACATTAATGTTTCTACCATGATAGTGGCGGAAACGGAGGGAGATGACGTCGGAACCGAAAGAAGAAAACATGGTGAAGAGAGGGCGAGAGAGCCTAATTACGCCATTGGGAAATTCGAAGTGAGAGGTGGGCCTGGACAACAGATCAGAGGTGCTTCAATGAAGTCTCAGGGCTTCAAACACGAGAAGATCGATGGAAATAGACAAGAGAGAGGTGCTTCAATGGAGTCCAAGGCCAAACGTGAGCAGAGTGCAGGTGCTTCAATGGAGTCTATGGGAAAATGCTAGAGCGATAAAGAGACAAGGCATAGCATGGAAACATCGATGAACATGGATAAAGAAGAGGGTGGCGAGAAACAAGAGAAACTATCTCTAGAAGAGATATCTAAGCTAAGAGGAACAGATCAACAGAATTCGATGGAGACTTTATGCGCTGCCGAAGAACGGTATAACAAGGCCAAGGAATCAGCCGCCCAAGCGCTTAATACCGCAGCCGAGTACACCAAAGATAAGGGTCAACAAGCAAGGGAAACCGCTCGTCAAAGCGCTCAGTATGTGGCGAAGAAGGGTTGACAAGCGACGGATACTGTTCGTCGAGCTGCTCAGCAGACGACGGAGATGGGTGGACAAACGAAGGACACGATCGTCGAAGGTGCAAAAAGACTTCACAATACATTGCGGAGAAAGGAACCGAGACCAAAGACAGAACTCTATCGAGTGCAGGCAGGACTACAGCGGACTATACGGTGCCGAAAATGGAACAGACCAAAGATTACACATTGCAAACGGCGGTGAAAGCGAAAACACCGCAGTTGATGTTACTAAAATCGTCACCAGTTATACCGAAGAAAAGGAAGTTGCTGCCAAAGATGTTACGGTAAGGAGGCAGCTGGATTGGCGGGGAAAGTGGTTGTGGATATGAAGGACAAAGCCATAGTAGCCGGGTGGACTGCGGCACATTTTACCACCGAGAAAGCGGTGGAAGGAACAAAGGTGGCGGCGAGGATGGTGCGGCAGAGTATGCCGGCCAAAAATGTATAAACATGGGTGAGTTAGTCACTCTCACAGTGAATTGCCTCAGTGATTTGGTCACATGTCTCTGGCCCGAACCTAATGGGTTTTGTGTGGAAAAATGTGTCTTCTCAGTTGGCATTAATAATAATATAAAAACATTTCCATTAGTTTATAACAACCACGTTGGACGCGCCGTTATTTTTTTAACGGATAATGGTCTGATTGAATCAATTAAAAAGTTTGGTGTCTAATTGAGACAAAAAAAAATCGGTAGTCAGATTGATTATTGACCATAGTTTGGTGATCTCTCGTGTAGTTTATCCTAAAATTAAATATTATTTCATGATCATACGTACAGTAAATTATTTGATATAACGGATGCTCTGGTTAAATTAATTAAACAAATAATTAAGTTGGCTAACAGCCTTTTCCATTTGCCAGTTAGTGGGAATTGGTTATTGATTTTCGATTTCCTTGCATCAGCATAAATGGAAATGATCTTGGGATGGTATAAGATATTAAGATTACCTCAAACTTTAAAACACTTTAAAAGAAAAAAAATTAATGTTTGATCAAAGTAGATATATTAACGAAAAAGTTTGAATGCTTCGGATTTGTCTGAAAGAGATCTTTGTCGATGTTTACCAGAACAAGAACACAGACGTCGTCTATGCTTAAAAACAATTAATTGACGCCATCCACATCATAAAAACGTAAAGATTCTTTCCCTTGTTTCTACTTAACAATTTTCAAGTCTAGTTATAGACAAACAATAATAGAATATAGCTCAAATCTTGCATATTTTATTCGTAAAAATAAATACTTGATATAAAAACTAAGTAATGCAAAATAAATAATTAACATTAACAATTAGGTTATAATCAAACGAATAAGAAAAAATTATTATTGCGTCATGGTAGTCCATTTTCTTATAGGAAGTTGACACTCAATTGATTGCTCTTTTCTTAAAGGTCGTATAATATAAGAAAAATGTTAGAAGATTATTGATTTCAATCGACTAAAAATGTTTCAATAAATAAATAAATAAATAAATTACACTCACCTTTGTCTCACTACCGAACCTTTATATGTTAATTCTTTATTCGTGTATTTTTTCCTTTCCTTTCGGGTCGTTCGTTTATCTAGGTTTATCGTAGTCTGACAACATAACATAATAATATAAAATATTCAACTATATGTTAGTATCATACTAACATAATTTAAACTTAAAATATAAAAGTATAAAAAATAAAAATCGATACTAAATCGATACAAACTTAGGTCACGCTTTCACCAAAATTTCAAAATTCTCAAACACTCTTTAACTTCCATAAATACTTATTCCAACTTTTAATCCCTCGACTTTTTCCAATTACACATTTAAACCACAAATTTTGAATTCTTTCTAAAATTCACCTCAATTTTTCCATTAAATTCATAATAGCTCTTCACTAGTATGATCATATCAAATTATTCAGATGAAATTCCAGCACTTTCATAAAACATTCAAAAGCTTACAAATTCATCCTAAACTGTCTTAGACTTTTCAACTTTAACCATCCAATTTAATAAACTTGCAATTCAACCCCAATTCAATATTAAATTCCAAAAATTCAGCAAACCAATACAAATTTCCACCATTACCATAATTTACCCAAATGATACTCTTACATTTAATAACTTGCAAAAAAGTCCCCTATTTTCTTGGACTTTTAAATTTCACCCCAAATTTTACCAAATTTTGAAATTTGGTTCCAAACAACTTTCCAATCTTAATTTTCCATCATCTCAATATTAAAAATTAACATTAAACACCCCAAAACTCACATTTAAACAACAATGTCCCACAATTCTTAAAACTTGTAAACTAGCCTTTTTTGTAACATCCCAAACTACATGTTAGTGACTAAATTGTAAAATTTCAAAATTTGGTGATTTAAGTGGAAAAGTTGAATAGTTCAATGAATTATTTAAAAATAATTCCTGAAGAGTTATTAGTAATTATTAAAAGAATGAGAGGGCAAAATGGTCATTTAGCAAGAAAGATATTTTCCCCTCTTTTATATGAATGATTCACGTGGGGGGGAAAAGTTATCTTCTTCTTTCTTTTCTTCATCTTCTTCCCCCCGTGGAAGCTAGGCAAATGTAAGAGTTTCTTTGTTTGTTGATTATTTGTTAATTTAAAGTTTGGGTTTTGATCATTAGATGATAACTAAGCTTAAGGAAAACTTAAGTTATCTTAAAATCAAATGATAAAGGAGTTAGTTAGAGAAGATTAAAGATTTTGAGTTCTTGAATGAAATCTTGGAATATAGTTCATAATTAGAAGTGGAAGTCAAATTTGACTTGTCATAAGTGGAATTAAGAGATATGAAGTGATAGAATTGAAATTAGAATATATTGAAAATTTGGGTATGATTCTCGATTCTATATGGAGAAAGGAATTGTGAGGTTAAAGATGGTTTATATGGATATAAGTTGGTTTATGTATTGGTAGTTTGGTTTAATAACATGATAGGAGTTTAAAATAGAAGAATTGAATGAAGAGTTGATGATTTTCCGGTTTGAATAGTGAATTTTCGTGCATGAACTGTGATTTTTTGGGCAAAATTTATAGATTTCAATAGGGGTACTGATACCCTAGGGGGAGGTACCGATACTCCCTATAGGAAAAATGGAATTTTGGTTCATTAAATTAGCTTAAGTTATTAACACCAAGTTATAAGATTTAGGCTTCTGATAATCATCTCGGAAATTATATTTATGTAGATACAGAGCCTAAACAAATTCCGGAACAATCGAAGGATTAGGATTTATTCAAAGCAAGCAAGGCTAAGGTGAGTGCAATTTAAATTGTACTTATGTTATTGTATGTGTGACATGATTTGTACGAGTATAGGCTAGTGTGATTGTGAATAGGTAGAAAGGAAACAAGAGATGATATAAGAATCTATTATAAGATATATGATATGAAAATATGATAGTGAGCTATGTGAAAGAACTATGAAATATATGAGCTTATAGGTGTTATGTGATGTATATATATGTTTATGTGAAACCATGCAAAGTGATACGAGCTATGTGAACATAAGTGATATGAATTACATGAAAGTAAACTACGTGATTGTATGTGCATGTGAATATGTGAAATGATATAAATGATAATGCCCATGTTATGTGATATGAGAGCTAGTGGTATAGTTGGCATGCCAAGAGTCGAGAATTACCTATGTCTTTCGGGACATATGGACATAATTACTTATGTTTTTCGGGACATATGGACAGAATTACCTATGTCTTTCGAGACATATGGACAATATACCTATGTTCTAAGGATCATATAGACAGTTTACCTAGGTTCTTCGGGACCTATGGACAGTTGCCGAGGTTCTGTATGATCTCTGGATAGGTCCTTCGGGATATTTATATGAGCTGTGGTGACAGCATAATGGTGCACAACCTCAATGCACTCACATACCTTAAGTTCTCAATAGTGTACATGGGATAATAAAGAGATTTAATAAGTATATTGAACATTATATTTATATGTGATTTGTTATATGGAATAGATCACAGGATTTATGTAAGGCCGTTAAGTTATAAGAATTAATGATAATGAATGTGAAATGTTAAACATGTTGATAAGGATATATGTACATGTGGGTATATGTTACAAAAATGATATATGCTTTTATATGATATTATCGTAATAATTGTTCATGCATTTGATATAAATTATATGATGCTAAGTGCATTTCTTTATGAAATGTTTTATGGTTTTTATTATATGTTTTATATGTCTCACTAAGTCATCGACTTAGCGTGTGATTGTTTCACACGTAGGTTTGGAAAGCGAAAAGAGAAGTAAAGAGGAACAAGACATGCTAGTTCTCCTTACTAAAGATCAGATCAGAAATGTAGATTGAATTACATGTATTTTGTTAGAAAGAATTTAGTTGGCATGTAATAAAAAGGATTTGTATTGGATATGCTCTGATTGAGTTTTGTAATGTTTTAAATGCATATATGTAATTGATAAATTTTATACTGATGAAAGTTTAGATTTTTACGAGATTATACATATTTTTACGAAAGTTACTATAGCAATACATCGATGCATTGTAGTAGTGCATCGATACACAATTTATATTCGAAAATTTTCACTGTTCATGGTACTATTCACGTTACTGTTCATATCGTATTTTACTGTTTATAGATACGTTTTTGACTTGAATTTTTATACTGAAGTATAATTTAATAGAATCTTGTGGTATTTTCTTAAAATGAGTTCAAATGTTTTGATATTTTGTAAGAATATCGTTTTTAAAAGTTAATGTGACATCTCGGACTCGTATCCGAGTCGGGTACGGGTTGGGGTGTTACATTTTTACACTTTCAAGGTTCCAAATTGATTCATATCAATCTCCAATTCACATAGAATACTTCTAATATCATTTCTAAACCATAGGAAAATTTTCAACATCCCCCCCGCCCCCAATTTCTTCCCTATGTTTGAATGCTTCAGGTCACCTAAGAGGGACTTTTTGTTCAATTTCAAGCATAAATTCAACCTCCTATGATTTATTTCATGCATTTCCAATCATCTCAACATCAAATTGAATCAAAATCCCATCATTTTTACAAACCCTAGTATATTCAAACCTTATATGTGCATGTACAAATAAATTTAATCATTATACATGCTTTAAAAATAATCACCAACATCAAAAACATAAAAATATTTCATCAATTCTTCAAGATCACCAAACCCTCATTAAATCCTAATAATCAAATCTCAACACACAAGCATCTTCACCAAACTATATTGGTACCAAATGATAGAGAATTTCATGTAGGTTAATTCTCTATCTAATAGCTTAATCCAAAAACTAATCATGTAACTTGAAAAATCAAAATAAAATTCTTACCTTAGGAGAGCTTGTAGTTTCAGCCAAGAGCAAAAACGAAACTGAAAATATGCTAATTGTCTTGATTATTATAGTATTTAATAAATAATACACATGGTATTTATATAATTTAATTGAATTTAAAATTCAATTAATGATAAATTGCAAAAATACCATTAATGAATCTTGAAAATTTCC